ACCACGTGGATAAGTGATATATGGTACATCATAAGGTATGATGTCCATAAGCTTAATTGGGCTTTTAGCTTATAGCCTTAATTGGCTTTTAGTTTGTAGCCCACACGAGTGATTCTATAAATAGATCCCTTGTGATGAAGCAATTTCACTTGATGCAATTTCGTTTTTGATTCTCTCTCTCAGTCATAAGGTTTCCGTTCGTGATCAGCTAGCACTGTGACCGGAAGCGATTTGTTCGTGTGGACTGAGTAGAGGTGTTGTTCTTCATCAACGCTCATGATCACAACATCAAAGCTCTGAATCGCCACAAGAGGTAAATATTTCTATCACTGACCATGCTCATTCGTAAGGATCTCTAAAGGAAAATTTTAAATTCCGCTGCGCTTTTGATCGCAATTTTCCTTCATGGAATAGGGACGGTGCCATCGACCCTACATTAACATGTGTCCATATGGCTTCAGGATGGGATCGTCAAAAACATAGAGGCAGATCATATCTATTTTACTGTTGATGTGAAGGTGGTGAATCGAAAGAATTTTGACAAACCATTTGCAACTATACCACCGTGCGACCCAGAAGATGCAGTTTTCAAGCTGCATCATGATGCAATCAATTTCTTGACTTTACACCCTAGTCATGGTTTTATTTGGGACCAAGAAAAGTTGGACACATATCCAGATGTAGAAGGGGAGTTTGAGCCCACTGGGTAGGAAGAAGGACGAAATCATGATGATCCCTGAGGAAAATGCTGGCAAGGATTTTGGCCTATATAGCCGAAAACAGAATAAATGCGGCTTTAGAGGCTGAAGATCTTTTAAATGTGGCACCTGAGGCCATCATGGTGGAAGAGCTTGGAGACACAAGCCAAACAACAACTTCAGAAATCCATAGGCTTGATTGTATATACGAAGAAGAGCCTTTGGGGTTTGAGAAAGATTCAAGAGACAATGTTTGGAAGATGCAAGCACAAATCCCTTGGAGGAAGTCGATCTGGGTGATGGTTCGATTAAGAGAATTATTTACATCAGCACCAAGATCGACATCCAGATGAAGGATCAAGTGATCAAATTACTTAAAGAATTCAAAGACTACTTTGCATGGGATTAAAATGAGATGCATGGTTTGAGTAGAGAAATGGTGGAGATGAAGCTGCCTACAAATCCAGGCAAACAACCAATCAAGAAAATGCCAAAGAGGTTCACGCCAGAAGTGTTGTCCAAAATCAAAGTAGAGATCGAACGGTTGTTGAAGAGAAAGTTCATCAAGAAAGCCATGTATGTTGAGTGATTAGATAATATAGTCCCTGTAATAAATAAAAATGGAAATTTGAGAATTCGCATAGACTTTAGGGTTTTAAATAAAGATACGCTAAAAGACGAATATCTAATGCCCGTGGCAGAAATGATGGCCAATTCCGTTGCAAGATATTAATATTTAAGTCTTTTGGATGGATATTCAAGCTATAATAAAATTGTCATCATTGAAGATGATACCCACAAAACTGTGTTTTGATGCCCTGGGGCGTTAGGTACATATGAGTGTGTCGTCATGCCTTTTGGTTTGAAAAATGCAGGGGGCGACTTACCAAAGAACAACAAACTTAATGTTTCATGATTTCATAAACGCCTTCATGCAGGTGTACATTGATGACATTGTAATCATATCACCCTCGAGAGCTGGTCATTTAGACCATCTTAGACAGTATTTTATTCGAATGAGGGAATATGGATTAAAAATGAATCCATTAAAGTGTGCTTTTTGTGTTCGTGCATGATATTTTCTTGGTTTTGTAGTGCACACGAAAGGCATAGAGATTAATCAAAACAAAACCAATGCAATTTTGAATACCAAAGCACCAACAACAAAGAAAGAATTCCAATCTTTGTTGGGAAAGATAAATTTCCTAAGGCGGCTCGTTTCAAACATGAGTGGCAAAACTTTGGAATTTTCTCCTTTGTTGAAATTAGGCAAAGAGTCTGAATTCAAGTGGGAAAATTAACACCAAGAGGAATTCAATCACCTGAAAGATCATTTGATGAAGCCTCCAATACTGGATATAATGCAATTGAAAAACTATGTTTATGTTTGTATTTCTCATGTACTAAACTCAAGCATCATATAAAACTGGTCGAAGTTTCTATTTATTCTCATTTTTAAGTCATCAAGCATATGTTATCTAAACCCATTTTGCATAGTTGAATAGGTAAATGGGCACTAGCATTAACTGGATACTCATTAACATATGTTCCTTTAAAAGCAATCAAGGGGAAAATTATTGCAGACTTTATAGTAAACCATTCAGTGGTCAACACTACCGAAGCTTATGTAAGCACTAAGTCTTGGCAATGTTATTTTTATGGCTCTAAAAACAAACAAGGAACTGGGTTAGGGATTTTATCTTATCACCAGATGGCATTCCAACTAGATTTCGTTATAAAATAAAAGGCCAATGCTCTAACATTGAGCTGAGTTTGAAGCCTTAATAATTGGTCTTCAAATTATGTTAGATGTTGGAATTATAGATGTTGACATTAAAGGAGATTTAGAGTTAGTGGTGAAACAATTGACAAAGAATACAACTGCGTTAAATATCATCTGGTAATGTATATGTCCAAAGCGTCATCATTACTTCAGAAGTTTGACAATATGTCAACTAGTCATGTAAGGCACATTGACAACCAAGAAGATAAGGACATGACCCAGTTGGCATTTGGATACAAAATACCCAAAGTCAGCATAGACGAGTTCATTTAGGTAAAGGAGAAATTGGAGTTTGAAACCACACCAATGACAAAAACATGGGGGGAAACATCTGAAGTAAACCCTGATCTCCGGAACTATGAGTATTTTGGAAATTTTGAAATTGTAGAAGAATTTTTTGCTATTGATGCGTTAGCTAAAGACGACTGGAGGAAACCCATAGTTGATTACATAAAAAATCCAGTTGGGACGACAGAGCGCAAGGTTAAGTACAGGGTGTTAAGTTATAGATTAATGGGAGATGAATTGTTCAAGAAAACTCCTGAAGGTGTGTTGTTAAAATGCTTAAGAGAGAATTAAGCATATGTGGCAACATCTAAAGTATATAGTAGTGCTTGTGGAATGCATCAAGCAGGCTAGAAGATGAAATGGTTGTTGTGTCAAATAGGAGTCTATTGGCCTACCATGTTAAAAAACTGCATTTATTTTTCCAAAAGATGTCAAGAATGCAAAAAACATGCTGGAATTCCATATGTACCATCTAGTGAGTTGCATTATGTTATCAAACCTTGGCCTTTCAGGGGATGGGCTTTGGTTATTATTGGAGAAATTAAACCTGCATCATTAAAAGGCCACAGGTACATCTTGGTAGGTATTGACTATTTTTCAAAATGGGTAGAAGTGGTCGCTCTGGTTAAAGTAGACCAAGAGGAAGTCATGGCCTTCATTCAAAATCAAATCATATATAGGTTCGGGACACCACAGATCATAACAACTGAATGAGGAACTGTGTTCATAGGGTGAAAGGTGAATGAGCTCGTTCAGAAATGGGGTTCAAACTGTTAACATCAACACCATATTATGCCCAGGCAAATGGGCAAGTCGAAGCAGCGAATAAGACCATTATAAGTTTAATCAAGAAATATGTTAGACAAAATCCTAGAAGTTGGCATACAACTTTGGGTCAAGCATTGTGAGAATCTCGAAACTCACCAAAGGGGTCGACTAACACAATGCCTTTCAATTTGGTTTATGGACACGAAACAATATTTTCCTTAGAAATTCATTTGCAATCAGTGAGAATAGAGGCAGTTAGATATTCCTACTGAGTATTATTGGGGAATGATGCATGATGCGCTGATAGATGTTGAAGAGCATAGGCTAGCAACTTTAGGTACTTTGTTCAGGCAGAAAAAACAAGTAGAAAAGGCCTATAAGAGAAGGGTGAATGCAAAAGCGTTTGTTATAGGAGATTTGGTTTGGAAAGTGATCTTACCCATGGATCGAAGAGATAGAATTCTAGGAAAATGGTCACCAAATTGGGAAGGACAGTTTCAAGTGGTTCATGTTTTGTCCAACAATGCTGATAAGATCAAAGAGCTCACGTCAGAAGGTCAATATTAAGAGTAAATGGTAAATAATTAAAGAAATATAGACCTATGTTGCAATAAATTGTAATAGGCAAAGAGTAAAAAACCATTCATTACATAGTAAAAGGCCACTAAAGGGCCTGAAAGGCACATTAGGAATTATAATGATGGCTAAAAGGGCACATTTTCCTTGAGATTCAGATAGCAGTCTCGAGCGAGAGACAGTCGAGCATTGGTCAATGAAAGAGAGGTATCTGTTTATCTAGCTCGATATCTAATGCCTCATCTATTCATCAGTCAATCAATTAGGGTTGCATATGTCACGATTCAAGATACGTTGTTCAAAGGTATTGTTGCTCAACAATTAAGGCATTATTATTTCAAATTCAATCGTGGGATTATGGTTTCTAATGAGATGAAAGCATGGAATGAAAGTTGGTTTTGAATGCATTTACTATGGAGAGTAAACACAAATACAAGGGCTAATGCATTAGGGATTCAACGTATCCTAGGTCATTCAAGGCATGGTTCAGGTCATCACTTTCAATACCATTCAACATTATTTTCAGTTCTAAGTTCATCAAAATTCATTCGACAATACTCATGTTGTGATTCTAGATGTGATTCATTCAAGTGGAGTTCATTCGGAACTCAAGAAGCAAAAATATCAAAATCAAACTAATTCATCCTTAGACTGCATTCAAAAAAGATTCAAGTTCATTTTCCTTTCAATTATCAAACACCATGTTCATTACACCATAACCATCATGAATCCAAACACCATTAATCATTTCGAATCCTTGGTGAATTACAAGTTAAAGTATAAAGCTGATTCATTTCAAAAGCTAATAAACTTCATTACAAACAACATGAGTTCATTATAAATTCTTCACAATAAACTACACAAAATCACATTCAATATAATAAATTTCACACTATGAAGAGTACTATAAACTTTCTTTCACTTTCTCCCATTTTCTCATCCTCATCAAAACACTCTTTTGCTAATACAAACTTCCAAACCATGTCCATATTAGCACCATGCAAACCCTTCCAGAATCCTAAAACATCCACCACTTTCTCATTGCTTACCTTTCTTCCCCCGTCACCTACTTCTATCTACAAGAGCTATGTTTCTGTCAAACTAAACTAATAAAGCTTCTTGATACGACGTCAATTCATGGAACCTGTAATCAAAGGTCACATACTTGATAGGTTTTTGGATGCTGATGTCATTAACGGTGAAAATGCAGACTCCATTAACGATGATTTTGAAGAACTCTTTTCTTGGCTTTTCTCCACTCTGACCATATCCATTCTCACACAATTTCAATTTCTTCCAGTACGCACAAAGGCTAGGAAATATCAATCATAAACCAGACCTGCATAAATATTTGGTAGCATTAAATCAGAGAAGAAATAAAAATAGAAAATAAAACTCAGCATAACAGAGTTAACTAACTTCCAACTGAGCCATAACTAACTTTTTTGATCTAACATAATATACTAATAGATTTATAACTCTCTAACTAACATCAACTGAAACTAACTCTAACAAAATTCCTAATTGTTTTCTAACAAGCTTCCTAACATATATAACAGATTCAGAAGGGGAGGGATTTATTCACTAGAAAAATTCTAACATAATATAAAATTCAAATATACTTGAGATTGCATTGGTGGTGAAAATTTAAGAAGAACCATAAACCTAAAATCTCTTTATGCTCTCTTTATTCCATCTTCAACCTTCACTCTCTCTTCCATCTTCAACCTTCACTCTCAATCTCCATTCTCTCTCTGCAAATATGCAATCTCTCTCTGCAATTCCTCATCGTATGTTCTTGATTTGCACCGAGGCTATCTCCCAGAATCCTCATTCTCCATCGCTTCACGCTTCATTATTTCTCAACTACGATGCTTCTCAGCAAATCGTCCATTATCATCACCGCATCACCTGCAATATCACAATTCACAACAACATCAACCTTCTTCTTTGTATTCTTACCGCAACAACAACAACATACACCGAATTCACAAATAGAAACAATTACAAAGGGGAAGAAGAAGAATCTGAAGAAAGATAAAGAAGAGCAATAAGGAATTGTATTAACTCACCTCTGGTTTTCTGGTTTTCTACTTCTTATCGCCGCTGTCAATCTCTCTTTCCTATTTTCTCATCACCATCGTCGAAATCGCATCGGACAATCTCCGATAGGTAACTCCTGAATCTCTTACTTTCATCATCTTGCATGAAATTGGATTGAATGATTGTTGAATTGTGACTGAAATCTGATAATCCACGCACCTTCATCTTTCACTCTTAATTATGGACTTAGATATTTTCTAAATATGTGAATTTGAGTTGAAATCAGATAAGAAGAAGATCTCGATCGGAGAGATGAAGTAGTGTTTCAGTGAGCCGATAAACAGAGATGAGGATGAATCGAACATAGATGTGATGAGAGAAGAAGAAGCAACATTGGCGCTCCATTTTTCGATCAGAGAAGGAGGTTTGAGGAATTTGAGCCGTCGTTCAATGAGAGGAAGATGAGGATGAGACAGAGCAAGACAAAGGGGAGGTTGAGCCACCGCGGATTTGGATAGGAGAAGATGAGAGGAAGCCACCGCTGAAGATTGGATATAAGACGGAGTAGTGAAAGAAGAGATTGGAAGGGATGAGAGAAATAAGTTGGGGTTGCTGCGATTTGAACGAAGAAGAAGAGGATATCGTTTCTTGAGAATCTAGAAAGACAATTCTCTTAACCTAGTCCTTCTCTACCAAAACGACATTGTTATCTGCACCATAATGTTTCTCTTATTTCTCTTAACCCTAGCGCCCAGACTGCATTGCACCACTGGATTCCAGCGTACACCCCATGTTATTCTTATTTCCTTCATAAGATTTAGGACTCCTTTTCTCTTATTTTTTTCTAATTTTTGTTATGATAAGAAAGTATAAAATTAATAAAATTTGTTAAAAATTCTTAGTTGATTTTAGGAATTAATTCCTTAGTTTTTTTTATGAAATTTTTCCACACATAAAAATATTTATTAAAAAAAATACTTTTTCTTTTAGTTTTTATTCATATTTTCATACTGTTGTGCCTCGTTATTTTTGACATGTTTGTTCATTGTGCAAGGTACATTTTTTATTCATTCGGTCATGTAACATAATAAGTTATTATGTGATCGAAGTTGTAATACGGTGGGAGAACTGACTTGTTTTGTGTTTTATCGCAAATCTTGCAGATAGCAAGAGCCACCACCGACTTTTCTTTTATCAAAGAAGGAAAGGGTGAAAAGAACAGGAAATACCTTGAAGATTTTGAGTTCGGGGGTAGGTTATGAAAAGGGAAGGTGTTAGCACCCTTTTCATCCGCAGTTATCTACGGGCTCTTAATCGCTTAGCTCACTTTTTGAAAATTTCTTTGTGTTGTGTATTTGAAAATATTTTGAAATTTTGCCAATGTAAGGCGAAACTTTGTAATGATTCTCGTATATATCCTCGAGAATGCGTACAAAGTGTTTGTTTGAAAATATTTATTGAAAAGTGTGATTGTGAGGAAATTTTTTTTAGCAAGCGATTAAAAGTGTCTACCCTACTCAAGGTCATTCTTGTATTTTCCTCCTCCTTTAGATAATGATATCCGTATCATTAGTTAGTAGGAAGCCCTATAGTTGGATGTGAAGGGACATGCGATGGTCATCGTACAGTCATTGAAGGCAACTGGTAAGGACGTTTTAGAAAATTTTGTAAGGGACTAGATCATTTACCGAAAGGAAACGTCAAAAGGGTCATCGATGGACTTTGATCTTTTTAATCGAGGGACTTTGCTAAAGCATCCCCGCGTTCGAGGGACATGACTGTTTTCCGAAGGCAACAAGGGAGGTCACCCTAGAGGTGTATGTGTGTGAGTGTATTGTTTTTCAGTTATTTAGTGTTGAGTTAGAGTTTTCTATCGTTTGTTTTTTAATCTTTCCATGCAAACTCTAATTACTAAATAGTAAACATAAAATAATAGAAAGCGGTAAAGTGCAAAAAAAATAAAAGCAGAAAGTAAACCCTAAACTATTACATGGATTCGGGGCAGTTCCAAAATAGAAAAAAGTGGAAAGTAAAAAACTTATAACTATTAGAAACCAAGAACAATTACAATAATGAAAAGGGAAATGCGAGAGGAATAAGCTACGCAAACAAATGTAATAATAAGAAAACAAAAACGAAAACATTTTTAATGATTTTTGATAAAAATAAGGTTTTGGAGATTAATTAAATAAACCTAAAAAGTCTAATTAATTTTTATTAAAAAGAAATTAATTAAATTTAAAAAAAAACTAAAACCTAATTTGATTAAGGTTTATAAAAAAGGGTTTTGAAAAAAATTAGGTTTGTAAAAAAAGTTTTTGGTTTTGTGAATTTAGGGTTTTTAAGGGAAAAGTGATGAAAATAGAAAAAACCGTAGAATTGCCAGGGGTGGGTGTTGAACCCACGCCCTAATCTCTTTCATCTAGTGTATTCACCACTAGGCTAGGCGCGCTTTGGTGTTAGGTAATGGAAACCAGTGCGCTATGTAATCTGAAAAATATAAAACTATGAAAATAATTCCCAAAATACCAAAAGGCAGGGATATAACTCGTGACCTGGTATAGTAATGCCTTAGCGCGCGTGTTTTAACCACTAGGGTGGTGATACATCCATTATTATCAGCGAAACAAAATAATTATAAGATAACCCCATATCATGGATTGGAGAGTCTTTTCTTTTAACCTGCGAAAACAACACTTGTTAGCAATCCAAAGGGACCCTACCCCCCCCCCCCTAAATCAAGCCTTGTGAGTTTAATGTAAACGTTGGTTTTGGATAAAACGTATTGGATCGTGAGCTAAATTGAAAATTGCATGGATCGACATGAATATGGTGATTCATGGTTCAACCATCATGGGGCTTATACGATGGACTTTTCCTGCATGTTGATACCTCATGCAAACATTAGCACGGTTAATAGGTATTAAAATGCACAGAAAAATGAAAACATGAAATCATGCAATATGAGAAATCGGTGATGCATATTCGAGGGATTTAACCATTTTGGATCTTCACAAATTACCCATTCTTACCCTACAATGCTTTAAGAATTGAATGGCACGACTGGTTTATTGTGAAAGTGGATACAAGCCAGGGTTTCAAATTTCCCTAGTTCTTTGATATTTTTGAGTTTTTGAAAAGTGTTTCTTGCACAAAGGTTTTTTCGTGTCTTGGTGTCTGAATTGATGAGAATATATAAGATGAATTAGGTCAAATGTTTGTGGACTTGGACCTTGTAAGAAAAGCCCTTGTTTTATCTAATTTATTTTGACTTTTAAAATAAATAAAAATAAAAATAAATAAAATAAAGAGGTCAAAGGGTGCATGAAGTAATTCAGAGGTTTATATGAAGTGTAGAACATGCATGGACCTTGAAACAATAGCCCATTAGCAAAAAAATTCAAGTTTTCTCAATTTGAACTTCATGAATTTGCTAAATATTTCCCAACTTGCACCAACCATAACTCTATCAATTTTAATCATTTGAAGATGATCTGGGACTTTTTGGAAATCTTATGATGTCCTCTACAATCCCTATTTTGATCAGTTTTGCATTTGAAGAATTTATCTTGATTAAAGTTGCCTTGGAAAAAAGTGTTTTTTTGTTGACTTTTGAAATGACCTGTAATGTATTAGCCCATATCTCTCAAATCAAGCATTTTTTGGTCTTGATCTTAGAGAGACAAAGTTGTAGAGAATTGAATTTCCTTCAAAATGATCTTTGGTTGAGGAAAATCTGACGAAGCATGTGAAAGTTGTGCTTGGTCAAAGTTCAGTTGACTTCTCCTTAAAAAAACTCTAATTTGGCAACTTTTGACTTTTGATGATTCTTGAGTTTTCTTGATGAATCATGATCAAATCTTGATCAAATGATGAATGTGACTTCAAAATCTTGATGTTGGCCAAAAATCTTGAAGTTTGACTATATGTTGCCCACAATTGACTTTTTACCCAATACAGTTGATTTCCAGTCATCTGAGCCATTGACTGAGCAAACTTCTGGTGCAAGGCATGATACTTGGTATGAGCATTCTTGAAGAAATGTAAGAAACCATGAAATCCACTTGAGGCCTTAGAAACCCAATCTCCCTTGAGAAAAGTGAAACCCAAGTTGTAGACCCATTGCTTAGGAGTAGAATTTGTCTGATCAATTCTTGAGCAACCTTGAGCATTTGAGAACCCTAGGAGAATGTCTTGAAGAAAATGGGAGGAAAATTTTAGGGTACAACAA